TGTAGACTGCTTCCATCCTTCATTTTGTTGGACTGATATAGTGTGAGAAGTCCGAAAAAAGGATACCTATTTCTGAACAACTAATTTGATATAGAATTATTTAAGAATACAAGGATGCAGTTTGTACAGGGACAATTGAAAACTAATAGCAAAACTGATTCTGGATGTACCACTGCAGGTGATTGATTATGAAGGAGCAAGGTTTAAAGGTGCTGGCTGCAGAGGGCTACTCGAAGGGAGGTTAACTATTATTAAATAGTGTGTCATCCTAAACAGAGGCATGGCCTCTTTTTTGAGAATGCCTATTCTGATAAGGTTTTTTGTTTTGGTTTTTTTTATCTTGAACACAGCAAATTGCCCAATGATTTGGTGTGTTGTTTTTTTTTCCTAACATGCATTCCAGAGTTCATCCTTCAGAAAGATTACTTGTATTTACTTCTGCAGTGTAATGATGACTAATAATTCTGCTCTGTTACATGTACTTTACTTTATACAAAAATGGACAATCAGGCCAAGAATGTGGATTATAATGATTACCAATAAAACAAATAAAAATATTATGTTGATTCTCAAAAATTAAGGACTTTAGTTTATTCTCACAAATGTATTCTAACAGATGCCATTAATTTAACAGTTAAATCTCATGATCATGGTATTGTCACATACAAAAAAGTGAGTGTTCATTTTAAGTTATTAGAGTCTGTGGGGAAAAATGTGTGCATACTCTAGAACTTTCCTAGCAATGTGTTCCATGATCAGAAAGTAAAGGGGTCTTTATGAATAGCCATTTTCATCCAGAAAGGTAAGTGACCAAACTCAAACATGGATATAACAAAGTGATAAATAATAATAAACAAATTCACCATTTTGCAACATGGACACACGTGATGCTACATGAGTAGTTATAAATGTTTCTTAAAAGAACACTCCAACAACTGTAACCACTACAGTCCACTGTAGTTGTTATGGTGCCCAGAAAGCCTTGGCACCAAACCGTTTTAGAACCACACCTCCTTCGGTCTTCTACTACTGCTTAAATACAGCAGAAGCTTGGATCAGTAAGTAAAGGGACACTATAGGTACCCAGACTTCTTTGATCTTATTGAAGTGGTTTAGGTGCACTGTCCCTGTCCCCCTTAATCCGGTTTTGTAAAACAATGCATTTTTTTTTTTTAAAGCTACTAAGACCGCCTCTAGTGGCTCTCTACCACACAACCACTAGAGGTGCTTCCTGGAGTTTACTAGACTCTGGGCCCCTAAACACCCCTAATTGATTCAATGCTTTCCTATGGGAAGGGATTAATGCACTCACCGTGCGTGCATATTGGGGGTTTTTTTGGTGACTTATTTAGTATCATTCCAGTGAAGGGGCTCCTCACTGGAGATACACAGATATTTTCCTTGGAACTGGAATATTTTAGACATTGTGTTCTATATTATTACTACCTCATTATTTAATAAATTTATTTTGCTAAATATATTTCAACTGTTGGTCAAACATAGTTTTCTATTATAATTGAGCTGGGTATTGTTTTTATTGATCCCCTAGCGATTTACTTCAACGCCCTCTATTGCAAGTATCTATGGATTACATTGTTTACATTGATCATACAGTCTAGTTGATACAATTGCTTTTTTGTACACAGACTTATTATCAGACAATAGACACAGCGAATTGATATATTTTTTAAAGTGGTGTATTTCCTTTGAGATTTTTAGATCTCTTTTTGTCTGGAACTGATCTTGAGTTGTTTGGAGTGCTCACAATACATATTTTTTATTCACCTTGGGCATGCCCTCAATCCCAGCTCACGCTGAGTGTTCGGGGTAGTCCAGGGAGTCTGGTGGGAGGTGTTGTCTAAACACGGGCATACTTTAAAAGCACAGGATGATCTAAGCAAGTTGCTTGGTCATTCTGTGTTACTTCCAGTGTGTTTCAAGTGTATTCTGTGCCGTATTCCTGTTATGACCTTTTGGCCCCATGACTGTGTATTTTAGATTTGCCCCTGTGTTTATTCACATTGGACATACTGCCCTTTTGAAACTTTGACCTCTTGCCTGTTTAAATGTATTTGAAAGTTGCCATAGGACTTTTGGCCTTTGAATAGACTTTGCCTTCGGGTTTGCCCCTTTATTTCCCAGTGTCCTGCATTCCGAACTTCTATCTTAATCCACGTGACAGAGTGAATGTTTTTGCCAGAATGGGGTCACAGTAAGTGCCTTGCAAAAATTATGCAGTTACTGATGAAAAGTCATCTTGTTATAGTGGTCAACAGCAGAAATGAATGCAGAATATCGTAAAGCACAGCTTAAACTCTCATGAAATGAGTTTGGGAGGAAGGACCAGGTAACGCTACATTGACAAACTAAGGTCAGTGGAACCAGACTCCATGGTTTCATGCAGTTCATGCCAATTTCTGAACGCACACTCTGTACCTTAGTTTTAATGTAGCCTCATTTACCAGTGTGTAGTAATCTTCTGCTGTAGCCCATCTAACTTAACATTCAATTGGTATAGTCAGACACTGTTCCTTCTAAGATGTACGGTTGTGGGAGTGCACACACATTTTTGAATGAGCATACATAAGATAAGAATTTGCACACTGGTTATTTTTGCTTCCCAATTTACTTTTCAACTTTTCACTACCTGGCATGACTGATCCTGGGTGGGTGCATGGGGTACACTGTGCCCTAGAGCCAGAAGGTAGTGCCACGAGGAGGGGCCCAATGGCCTGTTATAGGGGGTTCAAGAGGTGGCCAACTGGTCACTTTAGGACACCCCCGAAACGGCACTTATTCAGTAATGCAGAGTAGGCACCTACTTACCCCATATGGCAGGTGCCTACTCTGCCAAAATATTACAGGAAAAGAGACTGCCAAGGTGTTCCAGTTCCTCACTGCTCCCTCTGTAGTGATGCCAGGAGCCAGAATATGACATCACTCCGGCCCTTGCATCATTAAACCTTGCGAGGGAGCAGTGAGGAACTGGAATGCTGCATGGGGAAGATCCCCATTGGCCCCCAGGGAGAGAACCGACACCATCTCCCTTAAATAATGTCTGACAGGAGGCTGGATGGGCCTAAAAAAATAATAATAATGTTAGTGTGGGTAAGAATGTATAAATGTGTCTGTATCAGTGAGTGTGTGTGTGTCAGTGATTGTGTTTCAAATCAGTGAGACTGTGTGTCTGTCATTGAGAGTGTGTGCCTGTGTGTTTTAAGAACCATTAATGTATATGTTAATATTTATTGGGCAAAGAGCTCCTTTTGAAAAATCTATGGGTGACATTTCTCCATTTAATGTTTGCTATTGGTGTCTGCTGAATTAGGTTGTTTGTTTTTTCTTGTCTGGGTTGGACATATTCCACCATACCAAGATTCATTTTCACGACATCTCGCCTCCTCTCCATATACAGTTGTAATCAAAATTATTGAACCCTCATTGAAAATCAGTTTTTTTTTGTCAAAATGTACAGACCTTTAGCTGTTTGCAATGAACAATCAAACAAAAGCATATGAAATAGCTCAACACAACAAATACGTTTCCTCAGATTCAACTGTAAATGTAACTTATGACTTCTCCAGTCTCAAAATTATTTATTCCCTTCATGGCAAGCATCTTTAGTACAAGGCAAGCGTTTCTGAGGAATCTTCGCTAATCTTCTGTAATATTCTCCTTCTTTAAATCCCACCAGAGATTTTGTATGGGGATCAGGTCAGGTGACTGTGATGGCCACTGTAAAATTTTCCAGGACTACTTCTGCAAAAGCCTTTGTGGCATTTGATATGTGCTTTGGATCATTGCCTTGTTGGAAGGTCCAATGATGCTCAAGCTTCAGCTTCCTCATAGACAGCATGACGTTTTCTCCTAGAATCTCCTGATACTTCAATGAATCCATATTGCCTTCCACACACTGCAGGTTTCCAGTGGCAGAGAAAGCAAACCAGCTCCAGAGCATTACCGAGCCACCACCATGCTTAAAGGCAAACTATAGTGCCCCCCTCCGTTGTGCCTTCTGTCAGCTGATTCCAGCGCTGATGTCCCTTGACTAATCAGGCTCCGCCTGTGCTCCTCGCGGCGATGGTTGCATTAGTGTTTCTCCCATAGGAAAGCATGTATCGTGCTTTCCTATGGGGTTTTACATGACGCTGGATGTCCTTCTGCATAGCGTGAGAACGTTGAGCGCCAGCTGACCACAAGTCACCTAACCACATGGAAGTCTAGTAGACGGCCAATAGAGGTGGAGTCAACCATCAAAGATAATTATTGCAGTTTATTAAAAACTGCATTTATGACCTTTTGCAGGGTTAAGGTACCTGGGACACTGCACCCAGACCACTTCTATGAAGTGGTCTGGGTGCCAATAGTACCCTTTAACTGTAGGAAGAGATTTATTTTCAGCGTATGCTTCATTTGTCTTCCTCCAGACATACCACTGATCCATTGGGCTGAAAAGTTCCAGTTTTGTTTTATCGCTCCACAGAACAGAATTCAAAAACTGCTGTGGCTTATTTATATGATTTTGAGCATATTCAAGCTGACTTTTCTTGTGCTTTTGAGTCAGTAGTGGTGTATGTCTTGGAGCTCTGGCATGGAAACCTTCTGAGTTTAGTATTTGCCTTACTGTGCTCACTGAAACCTCAAGTCTTCATCCACTATAAACACAGCACATCTTTGTGAGCAGACTCAAGGATAGGCCTTGTGGGCAGAATTTTGGGACCTTGAGCTGTGTAAGACCCCCCTAAAATTTCTGATGGCAGCCCTGCAAACTGTGATTATCTTTGAGTAGTTACATTTTTCAGATTCTGCACTTTTTTGCCCTTTTTTTCAATTCGATTCCCCCCATTTTATTCTGTGTTTAGTGAATAAGCCCCACTGGCTCTTTCATTCAGAAGATGTACACCTATATTTTTCTGCATAATGTTCCTACTTCCTGGCTAATTGATATTATACGGAACTGTTTCTTTCAGTACTAGTGACACAGGGAGTCATTTTGCAGGTGCACAACAGAGAAGCTGAAGGGAGGAGCTGTCTGTGTTCTAGAATCTGGGCTATCCATGCTGAAGGATTCTGCATGCAGCTGTATGTGAATGTTTGTTTCATTCCTCGTTTTACTTCCTTTTGTCTTACTCATTTATTGTTACTCAGTGCCTGCTAACCCCTCTTTTTCCTGATTGCAAGTGATCTCTCCTTCCTTTAGTAAAAAGAAAAACAAGGTGACCTTTTCTCTTGCTACAAACTGCTAGAAATCTACGCTCTAGTGTGAATGCCTTCACATGGATAATTTGCTGCTTCCGGTTTTCCCACTTTTTAAATAATAAAAAAAAGTCCCTTCCACCTGTGCTTAACATTGATCGTTTATTTTATAGTAAAGTTCCATCAGATTGTCATAATACTTTGCAATGCTGCTGACTATAACTAATGCTTGTAGTAGGAAGGGCAGTAAGTACAGCAATTCCTCATGATTAGTTTTTATGGACATATTTAAACAGGTAAAAAGCAAGCAGCATCATGTATGTTGTATGCATGTCCTAACTTAGCACGAGAAATAAAGTAGGAGACTGTGTACAAGTCCATTCTGCTGCTGGTAGAGAATATACAATCCTCTAAAATTGATAGTGAATACTTCCTGAAAGATTTGGGAATCATATGGGAATGTAATTATTTGTAGGTTGCTACTATGAGTTGAAATATATGTTGATACCTTAAGATTGTACAGATTGTATAAAATAAACTAGGCTCTTAAAGGAACACTATAGTCACCTAAATTACTTTAGCTAAATAAAGCAGTTTTCGTGTATAGATCACTCCCCTGCAATTTCACTGCTCAATTCACTGTCATTTAGGAGTTAAATCCTTTGTTTCTGTTTATTCAGCCCTAGCCACACCTCCCATGGCTATGATTGACAGAGCCTGCATGAAAAAAAACAGATGTAATTTACCTTAAATAATTGTCTCAATCTCTAAATTGAACTTTAACCCCTTAAGGACCAAACTTCTGGAATAAAAGGGCATCATGACATGTCAGACATGTCCTGGAGGTTAATTCATTAAACTGTGAAATGTGTAGAAGTGATTAGGGAACCGAACCTTTAAGTCACAATAGCAAAAATGAGTACATTCTTCACAATTCGAAGTGTTCGAAGAACATACCACATCTGTCTTCAGAGTAGATGTTGCATATGTAATTATATAGAAACCCTATCATAGATAAACAGTCGGTTTATATAGTTGGTATGCACATTATTAATAAAGGGACACTATAGTCACCAGAACCACTACAGCTTATTGTATTTGTTCTGATGGGTAGAATCATCCCCTTCAGGCTTTTGCAGTAAACACTGTCTTTTCAGAGAAAATGCAGTGTTTACATTACAGCCTAGGGATAACTTAGCTGGCCAGTCCTCAGATGGCTGCTAGAGGTGCTTCCTGGGGCAGTGCTGCATACTGTGCAGTGCTACCATTTAGTGTCTCCACCCTCTAAATGGAGACACTGAACTTTCTTCATAGAGATGCATTGATTCAATGTATCTCTATGAGGAGATGCTGATTGGCCAGTGCTGTGTTTTGCTTGTGCTGGCTCTGCCTCTGATCTGCCCCTTCACAGTCTCAGCCAATCCTATGGGAAAGCATTGTGTTTGGCTGGCTCACAGAATCACAGGGGGGCTAGATGGTGGTTTTAACACTATAGGGTCAGGAATGGATGTTTGTGTTCCTGGCCCTATAGTGTTCCTTTAACATATCTTTTTAACCCCTTAAGGACCTAACTTCTGGAATAAAAGGGAATCATGACATGTCACACGTCACTCATGTGTCCTTTAGGGGTTAAAGGGCTAGTCTAAGCACTATAAGCACTTTGCATTATTGCAAAGTGCATGATACTTAGAACATCCTGAACACACTCTCATTTTTGAGAATGGCGTACCACAGTATTCAGCAATGCTTCGTAAAACTTACTGCCCCTATAAGATAGAATACCAGGCCTGTCAGTCAGGCAACCGGAACCCTTACAGGGTTATTAATTCGATAAAATCTGAATTAATGTAAATTAAAATGGTGTGGACAAATAGAAGTAAATATAAAGAAGATTTGACTAGGGCTAAGTTGGAAAATGTTAACACATCTGCTATTTTTGTCGTGATTTTTTCATTCAGATTTAATTCTCCAAACTTTGTATTGTAGTGAATAAACTTTTAAGGTCTCGGGTATCATATCAATGTTGGCTATATTGTGCTCATGTATAATAGGAAAGTCTCTCTCTCTCCTCCCTGGAGAGAGCCAAGCCATGGACTATGCATGTGTGGGCTTCTGGTCACGCCATAGCAAAACTGATAATCACTTCAGCATAATAATGAACACCCTGACATCACTTTGATGTAATAATAAACACTTTACTATAACTTTAAGGAGGCAATCCAGGCACACACACACATTTGTTTAGATTATAGTTAGGAATGCTGGGTGGGTGTCTTTTATTAGTCTTGTTTAATAAGGCTCTCATTCTTGCTACTTACAGTGTTTGGATATGTAATCCAAAAATACAGCTGCACGTGCTTTCATGATATTCATCTGTTAGATTTCCATATTAAATAGATGACAAATGAACTTCCATAAACACTTGCTGTGCTCACTAAGCACTGATTATGGGGATAAACTGAAAAATGATATAGAATGTTAAAGGAACACTCATTGTTTTTACTGTCCGAATACAGAGTAGTTACATGGAGTGAGCCAGAACTGGACCAGTGCTCTGAAATGTATATGGAAATTCCATGTTAATACTGTTTTAACATTATTATAGTTCACTGCATTGACACTGTATTTTAGAGAATTGCCAGTCATATATTAAGTTTTTATCTTTATTTGTAGAAACGATCTCAAAGATGAACCTGACCTCCTCTAGGATCCTGTCGCTGTGCAGATCCATACCAACAGCATCCCATCGGTGTTTCAGATATGACACCTGCGGCCGGTGGCAAGACACGTCTAGTACATATCCGCACAGTCAGATGACATCACTGTATGGATTTAAGAACCAGGTGTTTGCCAGATGTTTGCACAGTATCAGTGCATTTAGCAGCTGCAAGTGTTGGAAGCCTGTTGTATCCCACCATTCACGTCACAAGACTGAGATTCATGGCTCGAAAAGATCACTTAGTTTTTCTGCTGCTGCCGTGGTTGAATCGATGCCAAAAAATGTTCAGCCTTACCTACGACTTATGCGATTGGACAAACCAATTGGTAAGAGGATTTGGCAGCAGAATAGCTTCCAAAACCATATTCACATTTACTTAAACATCTAGTAAATTTGAAGCCTTTAACCGCAGGTTAACAAATAGTAATGATTTGTTTTTGATTTGTGGTTGGGTTGTAGTTGTTAGATTTTAAGATTTTAATCTGTTATAGGATATCTTTCAGTCCAATGCCATGGGCCTCCTCATTCTGTTACATTAATACTTCTGCCAAGGATGATGGGTTAAGTTGGCTCTGCGGCATGGGGGTGGGGAGCAGAGCCATCTTTACCTGGTAGCCTGCCGGGTTAGCTTGACATTCCCCTGCGTGTCCTCTGCACCAGGAGGAAGTAATTACAGTTCTTCACTTCCTCCCGGCCCACAGAGAGCTGCATAGGGATTGAGACCGGAGGAGGAAGGAACGGGCTGACCAATCCCAGGTGCCAGGGCAAAATATTTAGTCGCCATGGTGCCTGGGATTTGTCGAGCCCTATTTTAGGTGACTTACTTATAACAATATATATAACTAACATGCAATTTATAACAACAATGTATTTATTTTACACAGATTTCTAACATATTTGTTGTAGTTTAAAGACGCTATACTGTGAGTATTATTGCAGTGGAACTCTGTTATACACTCAGACACACCAACAATATGGAACTTCTATAAAAGAGGGAGATTAGGATAGAAAAAAAGGATTTGGGCCTAAAAATGGACTGACTATTTTAAATAGGGACTTTTGGGAGATATGGACTATGAATGGATGATCACACACTTGACAGGTCATAGATATTTTCTGTAGATTGTTGTGGTAGCATATTCCCTGGAGTGCTGCTGGCATACTGACTGTTTTTAATCTACTACAGGAACTTGGTTGTTGTACTTACCCTGCACGTGGAGTATAGCTCTTGCTGCAGAGCCGGGTGGACTCCCAGACATATCCATGCTGGCCCTGTTTGGCACAGGAGCAGTTCTGATGCGTGGGGCTGGATGTACTATAAATGATATGTGGGACAGAGACTTTGATAAGAAGGTATGTCTGTCATTTTCCCCTGAATTATAAAGTGAATTCATTATTATTATTTTAACACATATTTGTTATGTAGTTGTTTCTCAATGAGTTCCATGGGCCAATAACATAGAATTAAGAAGTAGGGACCTCTCTAGTCGGTCCTCTCACACCTCACCCCTCTGTCAGTCCTTACATTGGCTTCCTATATCCTATAGGAGTCAATGCAAAGTGCTAACCCATACCTATAAAGCACTGAACAATTCTAGCCCCTCTTATAGCTCTTCACAGATCAATAGGTATGCTCCTACTTGGTCTCTCCCCTCTGTCCGTTGTTTGCACCCGAGACTCTTCCCTAGTCTTCAATCCTTTAAGAAGTGCCTTAAAACCCATCTCTTTAGGAAAGCTTATGGCCTCCCAGAGTAACCTCTACCTCACATACCTGTCTTTTGCTCTCTCTTAAAGGGCAGCACTTTATTCTCTCCTCCATCCCGCTTCACTCCCATCTTATTTGATTGATATTTCCTGTAATAACGTGTCTTACACCCCACCTCCTATAGACTGTAAGCTCGTTTGAGCAGGGTCATCGTCAACCTATCGTTCCTGGTAGTTTTCTTGTAATTGTCTTATTTATAGTTACATCCCCCCTCTCATAATATTGTAAAGCGCTACGGAATCTGTTGGTGCTATATAAATGGCGATAATAATAATAATAGAGATGTTGCCTTTCATATGGAGCATGTAAGCTCCTAATCACAAATAAAATCAGTAAGATTATATTTTAGAGTGTGTTGAACTTTTATTTATTTTATAAATTATAGAATCTAGAAGAATTTATCCTGGTCATACCAAAACCCACCTTCTTCAATGGAGTTAGTAGGAAAGTTCTAGAGAAAACCTATGCCCAAACTGAATTCTTTAGTTATTATCTTGAAGACTGTATTAAAATCATTCTTTTCAAGGGTGGAATGGACTAGAGTGCTTGAACAATATATGGGGATAAAAGTACTTAATCTGAATATTGTCCTCCATGAACGCATGCCTTTCTTTTATTATCCCATGTCAAATGTGAATTTGTAAAAACAAACTTGAATATTTCTATATTCTATATATTTTATGTAAAATCTATTTTGGAAAACAATGATATATTTTGAGGATTATATTTGCCCTTGCTGCATTTGATTGGTCAGTGGCTACGGTGACCATTTCTTCTGCTCAGGTGGAAAGAACCGCAAGCCGGCCTATTGCATCTGGGGACATATCTCGGTTCCAGGCATTGGTTTTTCTCGGTGGACAGCTCAGTCTGGCACTTGGTGTGCTGTTATGCCTGAATAATTATAGGTGGGGAGCTTAATTTAATATTCTTTTTTTTATGTCATTTTTCAGGAGTACTAATTGTTTGTATACATATACCCATTTCTAAACACCTATTACGTGCTGTTTACATGAGAACTTTGATGCAACATTGTTAAAATGTTAACAACAGGTTACACTGCAGACACAGACTATGTTTACCTTCAGCAACTCACCATAGACCAGCAAGTTTATTTCCCAAATTGATCATTCAAAGTGTATTTCACATTTAAGGCCAGAATAGTCGAACTGAAAACATATCCAGCTTATAGAATGTTTCCAGTTCAGCAATTTCTTTTTCATTTGTCACTTTAGTGAGTAACCTCCTAATATTGAATTTTTCAGAGTGCAGAATATGTCAAATTTACCATAGTGAGTAATTTAGAAATGTCTGATTTTTATCAACCTGGTTCAACTAATTAATCTGTTGAACCCTTGAGTATTTTGTAGATTGCTGTAAGGTCAGTCAGATGTGTATTAATATTTTAAGCACTTTTTATTCTCTTTATGTGCATTATATATTTTTTATTTTTCAGTATTGCCCTTGGAGCAGCTTCTCTGTCGCTAGTAATAACCTATCCATTAATGAAGAGGATAACGTACTGGCCACAACTTGTGTTAGGTAAATAGCATCTATTATTATTATTTATAGAGCACCAACATATTCTGTAGCGGTTTACAATTAGAGAATGGAAATATCTGACAGTTATTCCATGTGGTAATGTGAATTCCAAGAGTTCCATGTGGCTTATGTGAATTCTGTGCATATTGGACATCTGATGTATGTCTGTGCCCTCGGTGAGGGGGAGTGATGTAAGGGGAGGACAATCAGGCTGCAGGGAGGTCTTGATCTTAGTGCTTGAATGGAGGGATGTTTTAGGTTTATTTTATTGTGGGGGAACTAGCACAGACAGGGTTACTCTAACCAAAAACACAGTTTTAACTGGTTACTCCAACGACCATGACCACTTCAGTGATTAGAAGTAGTCATGTTGGTAGGAATCTGTATGCGCAGCATTTCTACTTGAAACGTTGAACATACAGCGTAATGAGCACTAATTAAGTAATAGTGCCCAGTTGGGCATTTTGTATAGAAAACTGTGTTCCCTTCCCAAAGAGTTGGAACAACCTTCTGATTATAAATATTGAAATTAGATTGACAGTGTTTTTTTTTTTTTTCCTTCATATAGGTTTGACATTCAACTGGGGAGCCTTGCTTGGATGGTCTGCTGTAAAAGGGTCGTGTGATTGGTCAGTGTGTCTCCCTTTATATGTGTCTGGAGTAATGTGGACCCTGATATACGACACAATTTATGCGCACCAAGTAAGAAATCGTTCACACTACACATTGCAAACATACTAATGCTTAGAAACCTAGGGTGGACCAAAATTATTCATTAGGTTGGCTTGCAATTCTAGTTGTAAGAGTAGGTTATTATCTGGTCAGCAGATTAGCGGAAATTGATCCATTTTGCTACTGCATTAGATAGAGCTGGTTTTGCAAGACCGCGCTCACTCTTGCAGATATCTCTTATGCCAAATTAAAACCCATAAACATATATCCAATGGCCTGGACCTCTTAAACAGTGCATATTCAGAGCTGCTATTGTAGGCATTGTAAACCGCAAACACCCTAAATTGATGCTTCTTTAGTAGAATAGTAAATTAAGACTCCTCTGGTACTGAATTATGTTTTCATATCAATTCCAATGTTTAGCAAATGAATCCATTCAGAATATAAAGGCTAGGTTCTGTGCGATGGCTTTTGGAATATTAATCCCTTTACTATGGGAGTCATGTACAGTGGGAAGAAAAAATATGTGATCCCTTTAGACATTGCTGCATTTACATATAAATTTGCCTTAGTATTGGTTTTGATCTTCATCTAAGTTCCAGTAATAAACAATCTGTTTTAATTAATAACTCACATATGATTGTATATGTTGAATGCACCATTCAAGTATTCACAGTATATGATGGTAAAAGTATGTGAAATCCTAGGAAAATTAGTTCAACAAACGTTAATTGAAATGGGCAAGCATGGTGTCCAAGTAATGAAACAAGATTGAAGGAGTGGGTAAGAGCTACTTTGAATAATGAAAAGGACACAAACTTTTTGAGTTTTCTGTTGATGTGAGCCGTGCCTTGTAAAAGGAGCTCTCAGAAGATTTGTGATCAATAATTCTTGTGTTGCATAGCGTTTAAAAGGCCACCTAGAGCAGCGAATGGTTTTGCCCCATTCGGTCTTTAGTGAGTAAGCCCTGATTGTGTTTGTCTACTTTGACAAAGATGAGATTACATTTTATGACCAATTAATAATAAAACCCTAACTAATTCCAAAGGATTTACATACTTTTTCATTGCCACTGTACATATAAAATGTCTAGATTATGTTCCCATACCCTGAAATGCTGTATACACAATTTGTTTTTTATTTCAGAAATGTAACCATTTTACATAGTTACATAGGCTTCCTTCCTCACATTTTTTTTTTTTTTCTGTAGTCTTGGTCTTTTTGGCTATCACTTCTTCATTTTCTAATTTAGCCCATCTAATTGCCCTCTTTACAGGAATTATTGGCTTCCTTATGTTGATATAGGGTGCCTCTGATTTAAATGCCCTTTTCTTATTTTTTATTTTTTATCCTACCTTCCTACCAATTAACATTTATTTCAGTTTGTATATTTTATATTTATTACCCAATGGTATATAATGAGAAGTGTACAGTTCTATATTTGTCTGAAGATATTCCCTTTACCCTTTTTTTTTTTTTAAATAATAATAAAAAAAAATGTTAGTAAAGTCTGTTATCCTATTAAAACTGGCCTTTTTAAAAATGTTTTGGAATACCCCATGTCCATTTGCTTTTTTGAGTTTTTCAAAAGACACCGTGGGACCGACGTTTTACATGTGATTTCTTATTTGAATGTTTGACAAAAGATCAACATTGTATGTAACCAGATCCATATAAACATGCTTTCTAGTTGGTGCTTCTACCAACCTTGACATAAAGGTGTCATTTAACAAGTTCAAGAGCTTGACTCACCTAGCTGAACTACTGGTCCCTCCCAATTTATATCCAGGTAATAAAATCAACGATCCTTAAAAGTGTTAGCCCGATGTTTTCTTCTTTACCAATATCAGTATTAAATAAATGGGTTATATAGGTGTTCAACCATATTGGTTTTTTTTAAAATTAACTTTTTCAAGATATTGTGCCAAAATTCATTTTAGGTAAACTGAACAGAATACAGATTCTGACTCTCTCATTTTGTTGTAGGACAAAAAGGATGATGTGCTTGTTGGGGTGAAATCAACTGCGCTGAGGTTCAATGACCAGACAAAGCAGTGGCTGAGTGGTTTCAGTGTGGCACTGCTATCAGGATTAACATTAACCGGCCTCAGCTGCGAACAAACATTACCCTATTACACTGCTGTTACACTTATTGGTGCCCACCTTGCTCATCAGGTAAAATATTTTTTTCCCCTCATATAGGCTATAATCCTCTCACCTACATATTGCCACATTACCCATAATATAGCACTATATTACATGATGCCTCAATATCAAGGCATTGTGTAATACCCCTCCACACTGCCGGGCACCCGAGTGATCGCTCCCTCTGGAGTGATCACTTCCGGGTTGCTGCACGTGGCGCCTGGCAGTGTAGAGCAGAGCATCGGAAGCCTTCAGGCAGGCTTCTGATGTTCTGCCTGTACTGAGTGCCTCGAGGGGTCGAGGCACTCAATATTAAGAATAAATTTTTTTTTTTTTAAAATGAACCCTCTACGCTCCCTCTCCCTTCCCATGTCCATACCGGTCAACATCTGAGCCCAGACAGTCCCCCCACCATAGGACCCCCAGGGGCCATGTGACCGCTCTAAATTAATAAATGTAAAAAAAAAAAAAAAAAATATATATATATATATATATATATATATATATATAGTCATACTAAGTTTTTTTAAATTAATATATACATATAATATAAAATACACCGAGTAAAATTACACACGTGTGTGTATATATAATAACTATATATTGTATATATTATAAAAATTTTATTAAAAATAATTTTAAAAAAAAGTATATGTATAATATATTCTAAAATAATGAAAGCGTTATTATATGAGTATATATATCTCAAAGTACACTTATAATGAAATCATATATGTATAATATATTTGGGGTTAATTTTCATTCCTTGGCTGCTATATGGTCTCAAAGGCAACATAGGCCCTGCAAACCAAGCTGGCAAATTTAAATGTGCAAACATGGAAAAAGCCCTACATTTGACACCTGTACATTGGGGGTACTGTTGTACTCTGGAGATGGTGCTGAACAAATATTGGGGTGTTCTTTGTCAGTAACACATAACAGGAACTGTGAATTCATGCCTAAAGTACAATGTGAGAGAAAAATAAAACAAAAAAATGACTACCCAAAAGTTTGACAAAGACTGGAATTAGTGCATGGAAAGTGTTAAAATACCACTATTTGAAATACCCTAGGGTGTCCACTTTTCAATAATATGTGGTTTAATGGGGGGTAAATTACAGTGGCTGGCTTCAAAATATCCAAAATAGGACATGGGTGCATGATGACCAGCTGCGAAAATTCCAAGTTGGAAAACTGTAATGCGCACCCTCCAGCTAAGGTCTTTTAGCCCCCCAAAGAACCCGAGACACCTGTACATGGGTGGTATCACTGTACTCAGGAGAAGTTGCTGAACACATATTGGGGTGCTCTTTGGCAGTAACCCTTAAAGTTCTCCATACATGTATTCTTAAATTGCGATGTGTGTAAGAAATAAATCACCAATTATTATTTTGTGGGTTTTTTTTTTTTTTTACCGTTACATAGATTGTTGGTAAAATAGTTGCATGAAAAGAGTCAAAATACCCCAAGTTTAATACCTTAGGTTGTCTTCTTTTTAAAAATATATACATGTGAAGGGTTATTCAGGGATTCCTGACAGATTTCAGTGTTACAATGTAACGGGTTAATTCAAAAAAAAAAAAAAAAAAATGGTTTGGAAATAGCAAAGTGCTACTTGTACTTATTGCCCTATAACTTTCCAAAAAAAGCTAAGAACATGTTAACATTGGGTATTTCTAAACTCAGGACAAAATTTAGAAACTATTTAGCACGGGTGTTTTTGGCGGTTGTAGATGCGTAACAGATTCGGGGGGTCAAAGTTCGAAAATGTGTGTTTTTTTTAAAAAAAAGTCATCATATTTTTTTACAGTAAATTATGATATGATGAAAATAATGGTATCTTTGAAAAGACCATTTAATAGCGAGAAAAATTGTATATAATATGGGTGTGTACAGTAAATGAGTAAGAGGAAAATTACAGCTAAACACAAACGCCGCAGAAATGCAAAAACAGCCCTGGTCCTTAATGGTAAGAAAATTGAGAAGTGGTCTGGTCACTAAGAGGTTACATATCCATCTGCCTGAAGACTAGCACATTGTAATGAACTAGCTTTATATATCAATTAACATTTTTACTCTTAACATTTACCAGCATAAGCTTGCCTCTACTTTACTAAACAGTGAGTTTGGGTATTAGGTATTTCTAAAGTGTTATGTAGTAAGTACATGTCACTTTATGGCATTTAACAAGTCCTAAATATTTTTTTAGTAACCTTTTAAGTATGTAATTTAACTGTAAATCTTGCTGGTTTTTATGTCATTAGATCTACACATTAGACATAAACAATGCTGAAGATTGTTGGAAAAAGTTCAGTGCAAATCGTACAGTGGGATTATTGCTCTTCCTGGGCATTGTGCTTGGAAACTTGTGGAAGGGACATAATGCCAATGACATCAAAGAAAGGTGAAACGAAAGCACGTAGCAATAAATGGACTGGTCTGGTTGATAGGACTGAAGTAGAATGTATCTGAAAGTTACCTGGATTCATTTCACACACTCAAAAAATCAATGTGTAAGTAACAACACTTCAAGGAGAAGTTTTCAAAACATGATATAGTTCAGTGATGCCATATTGCACAACAACTCTCTAAAAAAATTCAACTGAAAAGGCACTGAGCAATCACCCAATTTATGGATAAACAATATACTGTAAATAATGGACAAAAAAGTTGGTGTAGACAGTTAAATTTAAGATGAAAATACGCATTACATTTTGGGGGGAAAATAAAATTGTATTCTTGCTTTTTTGGTATAGAGCAGTGGTGTGCCACATGGAAATGACCAGGCATGAGCACAGTTCAAAAGTCCCGTGGGCTTCACTGCTCTAATGTTTTCTATTCACTGACTGTAGTAATATATTTTATTTGAAAAAACAAATCATGATGATAAAACAACCCAAATTTGAAAACAACATAAGTGCATACGTTTTATTTCTGTCTCCTCATCCAACCCCAACTTTCATATTCAGTGCCATGACCTAAAAAAGTCACAACACATTAAATATTTACGGAAATGTCTGTTTTGAGGGGGAAAAACAAAGAAAACACAAAATTGTTAAGCAGGAGAATGGTTAGACAGGGCCACTGGAAACATCTTCTTTGGCCTGTGGCAAATGCATGGTTAGGTATATTCTGCAAAACTGCTTCTGACCATACTGTGAAATTGAAGTCAATCTTTCAGTAGAGTGTACTTATTGATCACTGTGCCATCTGTGCTTCCATTGCTTGGGCTGTCCACTCAGGCGCAGTCTGGCTAATCTTTTCTAACAGATTATTCACTTGGAAACATAAAGATTGAATCTGTTTATCCCATGTTGGCAAAGCTTCACGTGCTAAAAAAAAAAAAAAAATTATAACAATACTTTAATGACTTCTGAAACATAATTAGCTTCTAAACTTAACCTAGAGCAGCAATGACTAATTTTGGCAGTCAATTTGTGAACTGCATTTCACACGATGCTTAGGTGGACAAGTATGGTATGGTAGATGCAGTTCCCAAATAACAGTTATCTTTTTTTAATGAACAACCAGATTCAATAGCATTTCTGCTTATTAAGCTAAAGGTAAACAACAGGTTGAAAAATTATCCCTATTTAGTTAATGAATGGGAAAAAATAATCTTTCTTGATATATCCTGAAGCTGCATAGTGAGAAAGGCTACATGCATATTTAGGAAGAGGCTACACCAATCAGGAGCTTCTTATTATGTGATGAGTAGTCTATTCCCCATCAGCTATGCCACTAATTACAGAGGATGAGAAATGCTTTATAAACGGATGACCGCTATAGCATGGGTACTTTCAGTATATTCACAAGCATCATAATTGTGTGAACCATGCTGTGCTGTAATCTGCCAAGTGATGGGTGCAGATAAGGCAAGCACAAAATTGACAAAGCAAAGGAGGAAGTGAAAACTATTTTGCTGTGTTACGTCACGGGGGTGTCTTATAGCTGCAGTGATTTTACAAGGTACAATCTTTACAATTAATTTTACAATAAGACAAAGTTACAATGGTGCTTACACTGAACCTTTATAATTATGGATCAGTGTTGGCAAACTGCAGATGTTCATAAACCTTTTCTATGACTCCCAGCCAGCTCCATATACATTTTCAAGGGCAGTTGCCACTGCTATTTATATTTGATCATACTATGTCTTACATTAAAAGAGTTATTGAGGAAACACTTACTTTCAAAATGTACAATACCATCAATCTGGTCAATGAAACCATTCATCCGACCCTCTGTAATCATCTGAGATGCAATTTTTTCTGCCTAGGAAAAAGAAAATTGCAAAAAAAAAAATTAACTGGTAGTAAAAATAAGTACAAAAATTAAGTACAGAAAGCATGTTTTCCTGAAAAACAAGTTTAAAACTCCACCCCCTTTTAGTTCTAAAGGAAGTATGTAGAACAGAGGGGAACAAGTTTGCCAACTTTAGGCACACATAAACTGACACTATTTACCATGCATTCTGCACAATGATGTGCATATTTAAAGGGACCGAAGTAACTGTAAATGATCCTTTTTAGATTGTGTTAACATTTTTATTGGGTTCAGTATTTGAGCTTGCCAAAAACAAAAATTTTAGCATGTAGGCTTTTTGGGGTTCATTTAATCCTCTTATTTCCTGTTTTTGCTCGATTTAAAATGAAAATAAGCAGCAAGATGCATTCATGGAAATTTAAATACAAAAACTGTTTTGTCTGTCATTCCTCCTCATGTGACAAATGACAGAGCAACTTTAAAGGCAGTCATTGTTATACAGTATCTCACTGGACATTTTCACTTAGGGGTGTACTCCCTTTTGTTGCCAACAGTTTAGACAATAATGGCTGTGTGGGGAGTTATTTTGAGGGGACCCGGTTATACAGGCTGTATACTTACTACTTTACATTGTAGCAGAGTTTTCACTTTTGTGAATACAACTATATATAGTTTGAAAGAGTACTATTAGGATCTACATTAGAAAGTAGATGAGAAAGGGATTTATGCCAGGATTTAAACATAGAACCCGGTCTTCCATACACGTAGTAGAAATTTCCCCCCTGGTTTGTTTGCCAGAGACTTAAATAACCTTGAGGAGGCTGGAGTACAGAGGTACAAACATTTCTGGACATGTGACCCACCTCTTGATTTTAATGAACTTTGTTGATTTGTGCTCTTCTTCTCTCGGGATTATTTTTGTTTTCTTCAAATTAGAGACTTTCCTTTCAAAGGCAATAATATATCTATAGCAAATCGGGAGCTCACACTGGTTGAGGATTTATGTGACAAAGGCTCCAACCAAAATGGATTACTCTCGACCATTTACACTTTCATGTGTTCTCACTCATGCATTTGAGAAGATTTGACATATATCCAACACTGTGAGACTGATTTGAATGAGGTTCAGGAAGGTGGTACCTGGGGAAATATTTGCAAGGCTTTGGCTGGAGTCTCTCTCCATCTAGAATCGGTTACCCTGTTGTAAAGTTTCTCAGATTCACTTTGATTTAGATCCCTAGTCCTTCCTGTTACCAGCCAAAAGAAGCTATCAATTGCTATTCCTAAAAACAGTATGATAAAATTATACTTGCAAGCATATTGGTTTTAGCAAGAGATTCCCTTCTTATGTAATGATAATGGCCAAACTCTTTCACAATTAGTTTTTGAACCAACTTACCGCGTCGGTCAGAGAAACATTGCCCACATACATATATAACTGTCAATGTCGGATAAGTTTGCTAACTAAAAAATTTAAACACATACAAGCCTACCTTGGCAGCTGGTATCTCCAACAAGGCTCCAAGCTCCTCAAAGGTAATGTTGTTGTAGAGTTTGCTTGCTGATAACAAGTTATGTTCTATGACGGCTCTGTCCAAAATACTTGATCCTTTGGATATCGAGTAGAGAAAGAATCAAAAGGGTATATGTAGTGGTATACCTGTAACCTAATGTACACTAAATTCATTTAGTAATCCTAAATCTATGTATGTCACTCTTAAACAGACACCAAGTACCAAAACTGTAACATCATACTCTAGATTGTACGCTAGTTTCTTCCTGCAGTCTGAAAAATGTAAACATGGTAGTTTTTTAGAAATAGCAATTTTTACATTTGTCAGAAACCGCAACTCTAGTGGTGGTCACAGAGACAGGCACCAGATGCATTTTTCCTAAATAAGACTATTGTGTATTCTATCCACACATTCCCATTAGATATGGGTCTATGGAATGAGCATAATTAACAGATGCTTTCAATAAGTCACATTGCTTTTTTGACTGAGAATTCTGAAATGTGTGTGTATACCAAGAACAAAATGAGATTATGTGATATGACCAGAGTTTTATCTAAAAGTGCTGACATCATTATAGTTCTAAACTATATAAACTAGTGGACAAAGTTAATCAAGGGCTCTTGTCCATCTTTTCTCACAAATTGAATATCTTTACTTTGAGGATCACACAATATGATAAAGCAGAATGCTCTTGCCGCGCATGTGCATTCAGCAGATGATGTCGGAAGAGGGAGGAGGGTCCCCAGTGCAGAGGAAGCCCAGCACTGGAGAAAGGTAAGCGTTTAACCCCTTCCTCCCCCTTCAGCCCGGTGGGAGTGGGACCCTGAGGGTGTGGGGGACCTAAAGACCCTATAGAGCCAGGAAAACAAGTTTGTTTTCCTGGCACTATAGTGGTCCTTTAAATTGTACTCGCCAGCTTTTGAGATTTATGTAGAGGTCACTGCTACACAAATAAGGGATTTCCAAAGTTCCATGTCTAGAGTGAAACCAAAACAAATCTGACAAGAAACACCAGATATAAAAGATTGAGCTTTTGTGAACCCACTCAAAGAAGATCTTTTCCATGTCTTGGCACAAACTCAAGAAATAAAACCTTTTGGGTTGACATGTTGCCTAGACCATAGCGAAGGAGGCTCATTTTTTTTGGCTCTTAATAAACTGCCTCTGATAACCTCACAATGTACATAGTTTTGCAATTTTTTTTATTTTAAGAGGGATGCAATAGGCATCAACACCGCTTTAACAAACTAAAACTTGTTGTTTAGGTGATATACCCCAACTCTCAATCAACATAAAATAGAAACAAAACCATGGAAAATAGTATAATATTGTTATAATATCCACAGAGTGTTATACAGCTGCTACAAACATATCTGATCTGTATTTCCATCTATTAAGCACCCTTTTTTCACACACTAAGTTTATACCTGTTTGTATCAACATAACTTTACAGAGGCTGCTTGGTTTAGAGCCTATACCAACAAAAGACTAACAAATGTGAGTTGGATGCGCATCTACTTTCCACTGTACATGGAACTTTTAATTGTAGAAATATTGTGACAATATTATACTATTTTGCATGATTTGGTTTCTATTTTATGTATATGAAACAAACCCTGCAATCTTGAGGGGTAAGTCATTTATACAATTTTGTTAGCGCTGCACTCACACTTAGTTGTTTGGGAGGTATATCACCAAAACAACAAGTTTTAGTTTTGTTTTTGTTTCTCTGATTTTGTGGATTTTTGGGATATCCAGAGTGTTATACAGCTGCTACAAACATATCTTATCTATATTTTTTATTAAGTGCCCTTTTTCATCAACACAACTTTAGCTTAATAAAGCAGTTTGGGTGTATAGATCATTAATGACCTTGCAGTTTCACTGCTTACGGTAATTCACAACCATGTAGGAGTTAAATCAGGTTGGTTTCTGTGCATGCAGCCATAGCCATACCTCACATGGCTGTGACTCACATAGCCAACATGAAAAACATTTTTTATTTTTAGTCTGATGTTACATTTCTTTAGAAGTTTTTATCTTTTGCAACTTTAATCACACCCCTGATACTCTTGCAGGATCTAGAAGGCTAGATTCAGAGAATCTGCAATGTTTACATTGCAGGGTTAAGACAACCTCTAAACAGACAACAGATGGCTTTTCATGGAGTTTAACTCAACGAAAAGAAGCTGGACGTCTTCAAGCTTTAGATGAGGACTTCCAGCATCTACAAAGTCACCATAGGAAAGCATTGTTTCAATGCTTTCGTGTGGGGAAGCCCTAATGCGCTCTATGGATGAAGCAAAGAAAATGTGATGTGGCAACCATCTAACTAGTTTAGCACTAGAGTTTTGAGATTCATACCATCTCCAGTGGTGGCTTTCTGATGAGGCATAAGCATGGCTGCAAACTCTTGTAGCTGGTTTCCCCTGATGATCCGGTCCAGATACATCTTTTCTAGAATTCCATAGGCTGCAAGCTGCTGGCATCGTTCATCCTTGAACAAGGTTGCCAGCATTCTGGAACGCTGCTGTCCTACAAGACATGAAACCATTTCTGTAAATACATATTGCTTTGTGGATGGGGTCTTTGTCCTGGAACAGAAAGGAGTGTTTACTAGAAATGATTTAACGCAAAATAAATATTTTTGTGTAAAGTAAAATCCTACTTCTAAATCCTCTATAACTATGTTCAATTAGTTTGTTTCAAAACTGTGGCAATTTGTACAGAATAAACATTTTAAGTTGTAGTATACATGTATTCTAATCGTCTAATTAAACAAAAACAGATATACAAAAATTCTACAAATTCAGACAAAACTTGCATGCATACAACACTACACAAACAACACAAAGATGCAAACACACAAATATCAGGGCCCTAGCTTAAGTCAAATCCTACTCCCACCTTCACTTCCTTTCTATCCTTCTGCTCCTAGCAGCTGGTGATGTCTCTCCAAACCCCGGTCCCACCTCAGCAAACTCACCACATACTAAACCAAGGATCCACACTAATCTCATACCCATCTCATGTTCCTCTAAATCCTCCTTCAATACTGCCCTCTGGAATGCACGCTCTGTTTGCAATATTACTAAATCCACTGCTGTCCATGACTTCTTCGTCTCTCGTTCAATAGATTTATTAGCCTTAACAGAAACCTGGCTCTCCCCCTCTGACACTGCTACCCCTGCATCTTTGTCCTTCGGTGGTCTTCAACTTACCCACAACCCAAGAAACTCTGAATGTAAAGGTGGTGGTGTAGGGTTTCGTCTCTCCCCTCAATGCTCATTTAAACCTCTACCCACCCCCCCCTTCCCTCTCTTTCCCATCATTTGAAATACATTCCATTCGCCTTTTCAAACCATTCTCTGCTAACATTGCTGTTATTTATCATCCCCCTGGTTCCACTCTTCTCGTCCTTGACCACTTTGCTGCTTGGCTACCATACTTCTGCTCTTCTAATATTCCATCCCTAATTCTCGGGGACTTCAATATTCCTATTAACCCACCTTTGACCTCTGCAGCCTCTAAACTACTTTCAATTACTTCCTCCCTCGGGCTATAACAGTGGGCTAATTCTCCCACCCATGTAGCTGGCAATACCCTTGACCTAATCTTCTCTTATGCATATACAGTATCTAATATCTGCAACACTCCATTTCCTCTCTCTGATCACCACCTCTTATTTGCTCTTGTGTACCCCCTCACCCAACAACCTCAGCCTAACCCGCCTCAACTCAGGAGGGACCTTAATTCTCTTGATCTCCAGCAGTTGTCAGCTGATATTGATTCACGACTGCTGTCCATCCCTTCCCTCTCCTGTCCTTCACTGGCCATGTCTGCATATAACACTACCCTCACCTCTGCCTTGAACGCTGCAGCACCACTCCAAACAAGCACCTCGAGGAGGACCTGCCCCCAACCATGGCATACTAAATCAACACGCTACCTGCAAAGATGCTCCCGTTGTGCTGAACGCTCCTGGAGGAAGTCTCGCACCCAGTCAGACTTTCTCCATTATAGATTCATATTGTGTTCATACATCGCAGCCCTTGCCCTTGCCCTTGCCAAACAGTCCTACTTTTCCTCTCTCATTAGTTCATGCTCCTGCAATCCCAGATGTCTCTTTGACACCTTTAATTCTCTTCTTCGCCCTGCTGTGGCCACCCCCCAAACTAACCTTACTGCTGATAACTTTGCATGTTACTTTGCTGACAAGATTGAACAGCTAAGGAAATAATTCTCCCCTCCTTGCTATTCTGTTTCTCAACCACACATAAATCATGCTCTTCCTACCCTTCAGACATTCTCCCCTGCTACTGACCAAGAGGTGGCTGCTCTTCTCTTTTCCTCCCGCCCCATCACCTGCCCACTCGATCCTGTCCCATCTCACCTTATTAAATTTCTCTCCACTTGTCTCGTGCCTTCCTTAACGCACATCTTCAACTGCTCTCTCTCTTCTGACATTGTCCCTGCTGACCTTAAACGTGCTACTGTAGTACCTAAAAAAAAAACATCCCTCGACTCGTCCACCCCCTCTAACGATCATCCCATATCCCTGCTCCCTTTTCCATCAAAGCTTCTGGAAAGACTTGTCTTTACCTGTGTGTCTCATTTCCTCAATTCCAACTCTCTCCTTGACCCGCTTCAATCTTGCTTCCACCCTCTCAACTCTACTGAGACTGTGCTTATGAAAGTTACTAATGACCTAATCGCAACTAAATCCAAAGGCCACTACTCCATACTAATTCTTCTTGACTTCTCTGCGGCCTTTGACACCGTTTGTCATGCTCTCCTTCTTCAAACTCTTCAATCATTTGGTCTCTGTGACTCTGTCCCCTAGTGGTTCTCCCAACGCTCATTCAGTGTCTCCTTTTCTAATGATGCCTCCTCCCCTCGTCCTGTCTCGGTTGGAGTCCCCCAAGGCTCTGTCCTTGGTCCCCTTCTATTTTCTCTTTATACTGCCTCTCTTGGCAAACTTATTACCTCTTTTGGATTCCACTACCACCTGTACGCTGATGACACCCAGTTATATCTCTCCTCCCCGGACTTCTCCCCTGCAGTCCTGCAACGTGTCACTGCTTGCCTTTCTTCCATCTCTGACTGGATGTCCTCCCGCTTTCTGAAACTCAATCTCTCTAAAACTGAGCTCCTTGTCTTTCCTCCTCGTAATACTGATCCTCCTCTTTCACTCTCCCTTCAATGTTGTGGTACCCACATCAGTCCATCCTTTCAAGCGCACTGTCTTGGCGTCATACTTGATTCTGGACTCACATCCAGCATGTTGCCAAATCCTGTAGATTGCATCTTAAAAACATAGTCCACATCCGCTCCTTTCTTGCACAAGATACTACCAGGGAGCTTGTCCATGCTCTAGTAATTTCCTGCATGGATTATTGTAACCCTCTCCTGATTGGCCTTCCCAAAAGCCGTACTGCACCGCTACAGTCCATAATGAACGCTGCTGCCGGACTGATTTTCCTCTCTAGTCCGTTCTCTCATACCTCACCCCTCTGCCAGTCCTTACATTGGCTTCCTGTATGCTATAGGAGTCAATTCAAGGTACTAATTCACACCTATAAAGCACTGAACAACGCTAGCCCCTCTTATATCTCCTCACAGATCCATAGGTATGTCCCTTCTCGGTCTCTCCGCTCTGCCCGTGACCACCTCCTGTCCATTGTCCGCACCCGTACGGCCAACACTTGCAGGACTTCTCGCGGGCGGCTCCCTTTGTGTGGAATAGCCTGCCTACCGCCATCAGACTCTCCCCTAGTCTTGCATCTTTTAAGAAGTGCCTTAAAACCCATCTCTTTAGGAAGGCTTATGGCCTCCAAGACTAACCACTACCTCACATACTTGTCTCTTGCTCTCTCCTAAAGGGCAGCCCACCTTATTTGACTGCAAATTCCTGTCCTAATGTGTTTTACACCCCACCTCCTATAGAATGTAAGCTCGATTGAGCAGGGTCCTCTTCAACCTATTGTTCCCGTAATTTTTTTGTAATTGTCCTACTTATAGTTAAATCCCCCTCCCATAATATTGTAAAGCGCTACGGAATCTGTTGGCGCTATATAGATGGTGTAACGGAGATGCAATATTCCCCAGGTATCTCCGCTTATAATCCAAGTGAGGCTCAGGAACAAGTAAATTGTAAATCCACAGGCAAGGTCTCCAGCAGGCAAAATAACACAGCAATATCCCACAGCAATCCCAATAACTGGACGACACACAGTTTCAGGAGCAGAACTGAAATCTTTAATCCACACTGGCCTTTTAAGGCATGCTCCCATGCAAGGGAGGGATTACATTCATTAATACAGTAGCCAATCCTGTCCTGGTAACCTCCCACACATCTCCTCCCCTCAGCCAGCATCATAATCCCCTTATCCAGTACAGTAATTCCCCCCATTTCTGGATGTACCCCTAAACATAGGGGTACCCCTTTAAATCCTACACCCCCCGATAGCCCTGATCTGGGTGAACAACATATCCAAATATCACCCAGATCAAATTTATGGAGGGAATAAAATGACCGACCGCACTGAGTGAAACCGCCGAATGCGGTTCCATGTGAATGGGCCCTGCGGTCGGTCCTGGAGTAAGGGAACAAACTGCACAAAAGCCTCTAGCTATAGAGGCTAGGGAGGGTTCGCCTGAATCCCCTCGTTCGGTTCTATCTACCGAACGAGGGGCCATTCGGTAGTTAAGAACCGAACGGACCGGGCTTGTGGAGGATTCAGCGGTGTTCGCCTAGTCGAGTGTCCGATTTGAGTTCCAAACACTCGACGGCAAAACACCGCTGTTCGGGAGTTTTAAAATGGCAGCCGCCACGTGTTCATATATCGAATGGCGGCCACCCCCGAGAACAAAGGACGGCTACTTCACTTGTCAATTACCCATTCGCAACAATGTTGCAACGGGTAATTGAGGACACACTTCACACAGGGGAGGTCTGACTGTTTGGTAGTTTCATTCTAACAAACTAAGGGAATGAAACTACCTTACATTCAGACGAATCCAATACATTTTACACATAGAACTTAGCTATTTTACACGAATACATTCCCTTACTGCAAAGACATTTAGCAAATAGACGAATACAGTTTAAACATAATGTAAGTCCCAGGGCAGCTCATGGACATCCGCTACAGATGGCAATAATAATAATAATAATAAAATGATGGAATCTAAATGAGGATGAGTGAACAATATATCATACTAAGTGTGTATTACCTGCAGAAGCCAATATGGTGCAGTGCAATGCATGCTTTAATGCTTCCATCCTTTCACTTTCATGAACTATGGTTTTGTAGGACAACTCATTATACCTTTGTGCAGCTTCAATAAATTTTCTTCTGTAATCAAGAACACGGGCATAGCAAACCTAGAAAGGGGACATACAAATGTCACTAAATCTGTTAACAAGTTTTTTTTTTTTAAATAATGAAAATTATGAATTTAAAGGATCACTATGGGTACCATAACCACTTAAAGCGGCACTGTCATGCCTAACTTACCTTTCCCCAATCAATTTCTCTTCTCTCCCTCTCTCAGGATCTGTTCTTCATTACTTCTGATCTGCTCTAGTTTTCATTAAAACTTAAGAAAAAGTAGGGACTATTTCTCTTATGGAGGTTTCTTACGCCGTGACCAGCGGAGGAGCAAAGTGTGCTTCGTTTCTGGTGGTCACAGCAATTTTCCCACAATCTTTACCTTTCCTCCCTGTTCCGGCGATGCTTCCCGTCAGTATTGCCGAACGTCCTGTCAATTAGACAGAACGCCGGCAAAACTGCCGAATTGCGTTCTAACAGTTTCTCCATTCGTGTAAGAACGCAATTTGGGACTTTGTTCGTATCGGAATTTCATTCAAATGAATGAAACTCCGATCCTATTCATTGCGGCGGCTACATCTTGCAGCCGCTTAGTAGATAACTCCCTAATTCCTACGGTATCAGGGAGTTATCTACTAAAAGGCTGAAAGACCTAAATTGGTCTTTTAGCCACATTTACTAATACTCAGTAAAGATTACTGAGTATTAGTAAATTCAGCCCCTACTTTTTATAACGCGAGTAGGGGCATGTCTAGTAAAAATGCATGCGACGAGTGGGGGCCATAAAGATAATGGGGGGGAGACGACCTACTGTCCTCCCCCCCAGCCCCCACCCTTGAGCGGTGGGTGGGGGCCATAAAGATAATGAGGGGAGGGGACTTGCTGGGTGGGGGTCATAAATTACAATGGGACGGGACACCTCGAATGGAGAAACTGTTAGAACGCAATTCGTCGGTTTTGCCGGCGCTCTAAGTGACAAGACGTTCGGCAATACTGACAGGAAGCATCGCGGGAACAGGGAGGAAAGGTAAGGATTGTGGGAAAATTGCTGTGACCACCGGAAACGAAGCACACTTTGCTCCTCCACTAGTCACGGTGTAGGAAGCCTCCATAAGAGAAATAGTCCCTACTTTTTCTTAAGTTTTAATGAAAACTAGAGTACATAGGAAGAAATGAAGAACAGATCCTGAGAGAGGAGGAATCGATTGGGGAAAGGTAAGTTTGGCATGACAGTGCCGCTTTAATTCCAATGAAGTTGTTATGGTTCCTCAAGTCCCCGGTGCCAGTGTTATGCTGTTTTTGAAGAGTTTAACACGGAAGTGTTGTCTGAAGGCAACCATCATGCGGCCTTCTTTTCTGACACTCAGCTATCTCATTGAGCAGGGCCTTCAACCCCTCTGTTCCTGTGCGTCCATTTCTCTGGTTACAATTATGTTTGTTAGTCCACCCATTGTACAGCGCTATGGAATTTGCTGGCGCTATATCAATAATAATAATAATAATAAGGAAGCATTAACTTGTGCAGCAATAAGCAGCCATTGATGGGGAGAGAGTATCATTATTTCCTTAGGATGTAAAATGCATGAGCTACCTTTCTTCTGCTTCCATTCTTTATAGGTATTTTATCTGATACACTAAATGGTAAGCTCACTACCAGGGTTCCAACTGTTTCATTTATCTGTAGAAATGTAATTTGATGTGATTTTGTCAATTGACAAATATTTAAATTGTACAGCACAAAGCGATACATTGGTTTGTGGTAAATCTAGGAGAAAAACAATAACAAGTAGTTGTGGTTGACTACTTCCTTGTTGGTTGTTTTTACAATATTTGCAACTACTAATTAACACAAGATATATTTTTGCGATAATCATACGTATGCCATTGGTGACACTATAATCATCAACATACCTTGTAATGGATCTGCAGCTGCTCATTGGTAGACTCATTCTGCAGCAAAGAAGCCCTATTTATGTAAGCTTCAGCCTGCACAGGATCATCATCTTCCAGATACAATCGAGCAATTTTAAGGTAGGTCTCTAGTTTATAGTCTACATTGTACTGCCTGTTCGAAAACAGAAATTGAATATTCAAGAAACATGCACACAATTTTATCTCTGTCTCTGAGTGTTGGGCTGCAGGAGAGCATATCTAGCTCGGAATGAAGAAAATAAAAAGTAAAAATACAAGAGTTGATATTAGCAAGCCAATCTACAAAAAACAGAGAGAGATGATCTTACTTCTGTCCGGTTTCCAGAGGTATCCCAACGAGTACCTGGGCTGCGTTTCTCCAGTCTTCTTCCTTCTCATAAATGGATGCCAAGTGCTGTCTAATTGATGCAACCTGTGAAATGCCATTTCATTAGCAACAGCTCTCTAACATGCTGCATTCTAGTTACTCACAAGCTTTTATGAGTTTAGGCTATTTACATAATAGTGTAAACTATTGCTGTACAAAACACAGCAGCCAGGTAACTGTGTGTGGTGACTTTATACGTGCATTTTAAAAGAACACTCCAATGGAATTTAGTTTTGTACAATTTAGCCAATATACCTCCCCCCCCCATAAAAACAATGAATGCATGCAATTAATTATGGATTTTTTCACTGCGGTATATATGGAAATAAGCAAAAAAAAACTAACAAACAAGCAGGCATCCATTTCTACCCTGTAACTGGACGAGACACAGCTCTGGGAGTACAACACAACTAACGCTTTCTTGCAAAAGCCCAATGCAAGGGGTTTCCAACACAACATTACAGGGTTCATCCCTCCCATGATCCTCTGTGCCTGAGAGAGAGTTTAATTCCCTCTCAGGTACAGAGAAATCCACTTATGCAAAAGACCCATGCAAGGGGCTTCCAACCCAACACCCCAGGGCAATCCTTCCCATGATCCTGATGGGAGATGGAGGAGGGACAAAGCAACACAACATTACAGGGTCATCCCTCCCATGATCATCTGTGCCTGAGAGAGAGTTCAGTTCCCTCTCAGGTACAGATAAATCCACTTATGCAGAAGCCCCATGCAAGGGGTTTCCAACCAAACACCCCAGGGCAATCCTTCCCATGATCCTGATGGGTACTGGCGGAGGGACAAAGCAACTAGTTTAAACTGGGTTGGCAGTGTCCCTGGGGCAATGCCCTGCTAGGACAGGAAAAGAGTGGGGGAGGGGAAGAGGCAAAGACAAGAAATACATTCAGAAAAGGTAGGGGGTGGGGAGAGGCACAGACCAGCAATACATTGTTAAATAGCCCTGACCTGAAAACAATAAGCAGGCAAGCATGTGGGCATCGTACTCCGTTACGTCACACTCCCCTTCTAACCCAGCCCAAACTTTTTATGTGGCTATCCAATTACAGACTTCCCAATGTAGCTCAATTAGAATTCTTTGCAAGGCAGATGCTCTGGGCAATTGCCTATATCTTGAGTTTAGCTCTACTGAGCTAAACAACCAGGAAGAGGAGGTGTAAGGTTAATTTAAAAATGTGCCAATTTGTATTTAAACCTGCGCTTTTTGCAAAATGAAAAAACAAAAAGAGGACATATATTCTACATAGCACTTCCGCAGGCTGAAAGTGCTTTAGGTGCATGGAATGTCCATTTAATATGTTGCTGTGTATTAATAATTGACTTTTCCTCCCACGATTTATTGAGCATAATTTCAGACAATGATTATTATATACTGCGCCAATGTTCTGATGGTTTCATATTGATATTCAGCTATAAAAAACACCAGTCTTTCCATAGCTGAACAGAGAAAATAATTCCAATGTGTCCTGAATTCTATCTGGCAACAATTTTTAAGAAGTGCCAATGTGCACTATGATTGTAAGTGTACCTGTGCTTTGTGATCATTTTTTTTTTTTTTATTTAAGATAGCACCACTAAATACATTTTTTTCTGCTTTAGACTGCCCTCATATACACATGACAGCATTCTGAGAAGCATGGTGGGTGAGAAGAAGATTGCATGCTTGTAGCTTCATAAAGATTTTATCTCTCACCTGCTCTTCAAAAGAAATGACTCTTGGCTGGATCTTTTCCAGGGTGAAATGATATATTTCCTTTGCTATATTATCAGGCAGATTGGGTAGGTGAGTGCAGAAGTCAGTGAGCAACTGACGCGAGATCACCAAGCTGACATTTTCATTTACCACTGAAAATAAAATAATCCTTAATTACACGTTTATTTGTAGAAAGGGGAAGGCAAGGGAAGAATTGTTTAATTTTAAGACAATAGTGGCAAATGTGTATAACAAAGAATGTGATAAATTACTTACCTGTCATAAATCCCTTACGAATACAACAAGGAATATGATTACTTATCTGTCATGCATCAGCTGTATGAAAAGTCATTTTAGGCCAGGTATAAATGTGATGAATACATTGTGCAGGAATGATCAGGAGAGATCAAAACTCTGCTCTGTACTGCAATATAAAGATACCTGAAGAATGCTTAGTCCTCCAGCTAAGCAGTGGCCACAAATACACAGGAATGCTTAGTTTGCACCTGCCCTGCATACCACAATTCATGGTGAGCAACGCATACATAAAAATATGGGTTGCAGCTGCATCAATTTGGGGAAGTTCTTACAGACTTTATGTTAATTAAGTCTCCATAGAATTAAAAGGGATACTCAAGTGAACCATGATCACGTCAACCTATCGAAGTGGTTATGATGCCTGGAGTCCCCAGGCGCTATCGCTCAGTGACCAGTTTTTGATTGGTTTAACACTGACGGTCTCATTTGGAATTTCCCCGCTAGATTATGGCATCCAAAATTGGGTACAAATTTCCCTGGACCGTGCTGTTTTTGTTGTTTAAGTCCTTTTAATTTTTTTAAACTTACTTGCTTCAACAAATGCTTTTAGAGCTTCAAGTTGTTCTTGTCCAGGAAGCTGAAGAGCCTTTTCTAGTATCTGACGATACCTTTAATATAAAAAACATAAGGAAATCAAATTTAAAATAATTATATATATATATATATATATATATATATATATATATATATATATATACATACATACACACACACACATATATATACACACATATATATACAAACACACACACACACATAATATGGCCATTATACAACCGTTATATGCTATCAATTTAACACAGTTGCTTTAGCTTTTAAGCTAAATTTTAAATTAGAGAATGTTTTAGAAATGTCCTTTTTTAATATTTAAGCTCTAACTCTGTTACATAACAATATTATGATCTAGTTTCTGTGCCACATATGGAAGAATTGCAGTTGCACATAGCAAAATATCTCAAATTTTCACAGCAGGAACGCTAAAACTCTAGCACACTGAATTTTTTAGTGTGTTGTTTACTGCATGCAAAAAGCCAACATTATGACCAGTGCACTTTTCTGAAGATATGGTTGGACACATTTATAATATATGTTTAATCGGAGTGCAGAGCAGATTGTGTAAGCACTAGTATAGTTTAAGGAATATGTAGTTCAACACTAGAATCTGTTTCAATAACATGAACTGAAGTAGATGCCTAACATTTAGCCATGATATCATGATCTCTATGAAGGAGCCTGCCAGAGGTGGTGGTGATTTGCATGGAGCTGCTCAATAGTCAAGGGTAAAAAAGCTCCCTTCTACACAAACAAACCCTACTTCAAGAGTGTGCGTGATGTAGTTGTGGTGGTGAAAGGGTTAAAGACCGGAAATAACCTCCTCCATCATAGAGAAACTGCTATGTTTATACTGCAGAGTTAATCAGGGTTAATCCAGCCTCTAGTGGCCGTCTCCCTGACATTGAGTGATGCTTTCCTATGGGCAGGTTTGAATGCCCGCGCCTCTGGCCGCGCATGTGCATTCGACTCCACCCAAAAGCTGATGGCGATTGAGGAGGAGAGGTCACCAGTGCCGAGGGAGCCCGGCGATGGATTAAGGAAGCAAATAAATGGTTAATTAACCATTTATGCACCACGGAACGGGGCCCTAAACGGTGACTAGGGCTCTATAGCGTTAGCAATACATATTTTAAAGAACGCTATAGTGTTCCTTTAAAGAACATATATCTATATATTGTGCTAGCAAGTGCATATATAGAATATAAAAAATTAAAATACGTTTTTCCCGCCTGTCAATCAATTCATCAGCATAGACTCAACACCAAACAATTTCTCTCTGCTGCCTTTGACACCGTTGATCATGCTCTCCTTCTTCAAACACTCAGTCTCTGAGACTTTGTCCTCTCGTGGTTTTCCTCTTATCTCTCTCAACGCTCATTTAGTGTCTCCTTTTCTAATGATACCTCATTCCTTCGTCCTGTTTTGGTTGGAGTCCCCCAAGGCTCCCTCTTTGGTCCCCTTCTATTTTCTCTTATTGCCCTTTATTTGGATTCCACTACAACCTGTATGCTGATGACACCCAGTTATATCTCCCCTCCCGGACCTCTCTCCTGCCGTCCTGCAATGTCTCACTGTTTGCCTTTCCTCCATCTCTGACTGGATGTCCTCCCGCTTTCTAAAACTAAATTTCTTTAAAACTGAACTCCTTGTCTTTCCTCCTCCTAATACTGATCCTCCTCTTTCTTCTCTCCCTTGAGAGACATCAGTCCATCCTTGCAAGCATGCTGTCTTTGTGTCATATTTCACTCTGGCCTCCGCTTTGAGCCTCACATCCAGCATGTTACCAAATCCTGTAGATTCCATCTTAAAAACATAGCCCGCATCCGCCCCTTTCTTACGCAAGGTGCACCGATACAGTCTGTAATGAATGCTGCCGCCAGACTGATTTTCCTCTCTAGTCGGTCCTCTCACACCTCACCCCTCTGTCAGTCCTTAAATTGGTTTCCTGTATTCTATAGGAGTCAAGTCAAAGTGCTAACCCATACCTACAAAGCATTGACCAATTCTAGCCCCTCATATCTCTTCACAGATCCATAGGTATGCCCCTTCTCGGTCTCTCCGCTCTGCCTGCGAACTTCTCGCGGGTGGCTCCCGTCCTATGGAATAGCCTACCTACTGCCATCAGACTCTCCCCAAGTCTTCAATCGTTTAAGAAGAGCCTTAAAACCCATCTCTTTAGGAAAGCTTATGGCCTTCCAGAGTAACCTTGACCTTACAGACCTGTCTCTTGCTCTTTCCTAAAGGGCAGCAATCTACTCTCTCCAACCTATTTTGATTGCTATTGCCTGTCCAATTGTGTTTTACACCCCACCTGTAAGCTTGTTTGAGCAGGGTCCTCTTCAACCTATCGTTCCTGTAAGATTTCTTGTAAGTGTCCAATTTATAGCTAAATCCCCCCCTCATATAATATTGTAAAGTGCTACGAAATCTGTTGGCGCTATATAAGTGGAAATAATAATAATAATAATTGACAGGGAGAGCAGACGAGACCTCCCCCAGATGGTCTTCCTGCTGTCCAAGCATAGCAAGCACGGCAAATGTGCTGTAGGGACATTGTATGTTAACTCTCTAGCTGATGCGGTTACTGCTGGTAACAATTAAATGTCCCTTTTCCTCACAATTCTGCAATTTGAGAATTGCTATTCTGTATATGAATTATGTTTGCTATGACTAATATATATATATATATATATATATATATACACACACACACACACAATTACACCATATAATACACACACACACACACAATTACTCTATACAATACACACACAATTACACTATACAACACACACACAGACACACAATTACACTATACACAAACACACAATTACTCTATACAATACACACACAGTTACTCTATACAATACACAATACACACACAATTACTCTATACAATACACACAGACAGGGAAGGACATATCCCAATGGTTATCGATTTTGTTATACCACATTTCAGCCATATATGCACATATATATATATATATTTTCTTATAACAAATATATTTCCCCCTCCTTCCCCCCAGCCTCTATAGACACTGCTTTCATGTCACTCACTTCCCCGCTAGATCCTTGTGGGATCCGCTCGAATTCATAAGTTGGGTTAGATCCTGTCTCACACACGCCGCCATCTTGCTGCTGTTTCCCTGGCGCTAGGACACGCCCCTTCCGTCACGCTGTCATCATTGGTGGTCACGGAGCGGCTTCCTCCCCTATACAAAGCCTTCGGAAACACTGAGCACGAAATGTGCAGGCTTTGGGCCTTGCGTTCCACGAGAATTCTGTTTGCGTTCCACGTGCCTGTCTGCCCATGGGGCTGTGAGCTTTGCAGAAACATGAATCCCTTCATGTGCCCAGGCTATACTTTATTTTCAAGGCCACATTTTTTTTAAAGTATTGTGTGCACCTGTTATTAAATACCGTTTTTAACTCTTCATGGCAAGGGCTATTTTGTAACTTGAAATTGAGCAATTTTTACTTTTTTTTGTGTATGTGTAATATAGTTTGTATATTAGTATCAATGTATTTGTAAGGTACAATATAGATCACAGCAATTTATTGAGTGACATTTAGTAATTGGTGACATATAGAAATAAAATATTTAAAATATTTTACTGATAAATGCCATCATAAGATTTAACCTAGAAGAATATATGTGTCAAAGTGAGCTTGTGTCAATACAGAAGAGCAGAAAGCGTTACGGACCCAATCCCGGTTATTTATACATTTTTGGGTTTTATTTTGCATCTCTCCCAATAGTCCTGTTTTCTTGTCTCTGTCCCGCACAAATTGTTTGAACATGTCCCCAGAAAGGGCTGCACAAACACATAATGAGATGTGCTAGCACTGTGCAACGTGCTGTCAAGGCTTTGAGAAGCACTTAAAAAGAACTCTGCGCAGTATAATTAATATCTATTGCGGGTATATTATAATTGTTGCTTCACATGCTTTGCGTCCTAAGGAGGCCTGAGGGTGACAAGTTAATTATTATTATTTTTTATTGTGTACCCGCTGTACTATGTTGTGTACACAATTTAGTAGATTGTGCCCACAAGATAGTTAACTCACACATTCTTTAACTAATTTGTGTTTTATATAATCAACTCACAGACACGATACACTAAATTGTGTGCAAAGATAATGTCCTGGAGAACATAGCCTGTGCTTCCTATTAGTGTCGTCTACTCTGCTGCCTCAGCCAACTCTGGTGATGTGTCTCCCCTGCAATCGTCAAGTCTTCGCAACGCCTATTCTACTGTGATTTGCCAGCGCCTGCTCCTCTTTTCTCATGACCTCCTTGTTCTAATTCTGTGGTTTAAAATCTGTGAGCATGCGTTAAAGGGACACCGCAGGCACCAAAACAACTCTAACTTCAAGGAGTCAAACTAGAGATTAAGTTCCTAGGACAGCGGGACCGAGATCACCACGCAGGTGATAGCGGAATCCAAACATAGAATGTGACGGCAGATTAGAGCCATTTGGCCCATCTACCCTACCCAATTTTCTAAATACTTTCATTAGTCCCTGGCCTTATCTTATAGCTAGGATAGCCTTATGCCTATTCCAAGCATGCTCCTTTACTGTATTTACCTCTACCACTTCAGCTGGAAGGCTATTCCATGTGTCCACTACTCTCTCATTAAAGTAATACTTCCTGATATTATTTTTAAACCTTTGCCCCTCTAATTTAAGACTATGTCATCTTGTTGTGGTAGTTTTTTTTCTTTTAAATATAGTCTTCTCCTTTACTGTGTTGACTCCCTTTATGTATTTAAATGTTTCTATCATATCTCCATGTCTTGTCTTTCCTTCAAGCTATACATGTTAAGTTCCTTTAACCTTTCCTTGTACGTTTTATCCTGCAATCCATGAACCAGTTTAGTAGCCCTTCTCTGAACTCTCTCTAAAGTATCAATATCCTTCTGGAGATACGTATCCAGTACTGCGTACAATGCTCCATGAGGTCTCACCAGTGTTCTTGTAAAAAATGTAGATGAATGGATGTTCATGTAGAATCTTCTTAATTTCTTCTTATCTTCAGTTGATTGATATATATACGTCTTTTGTATATATATATTCTTGGGCCAAATGCTCGCCACAATAATATATGTCTATATTATTGAAAAGTAGTAATACGCAATCTGACTTACGGTTTCTTCAGGTTTATTCTTTGTTACGGATACATAATAAAACATAATAAATGTTACAGGATAGTGTACATTCAACAGCAGATGGTAATTGCTGGACTTCTTTTGGGAGAGTTACATCGTTGTACAGAGCCAAGCCAAGACTGAGAGACCTCGTGTCCCTCTGTTACTAACGTCAGCATATAACTCTAGCCATATAAGGACAAGACCCCCGAATCCACATTCCAGAGCTCTCGGACAAAGAAAGCCTTGTGACTTATTGATACCATCTGTTACTTATGTCAATCCACACATCCATATATATAATCAATAGAAACATAGAATATGCAATATTCTACATTCCCTCTGTTTATGGTTTGTTTTAAAACCATAACACAATGTATATAACCTGTCCATTCATACATCACTTGTATCACATTCATTGAGCATAGAACAAGATGTAGTCACAATTTTCTATTATATGAGAGTTCTTAGAAGGTCGAGTTTCTATCCCTCATAATGCTTACTTTACTTCAAAACTCCCTCTGTTTCAGCTATGTATTGATATCCATATCCATGTTACATCATAACTACTTGAACATAATATGTACATATATATAACAATAATAAATGAATACAATAAAATATTTACAAATGTTGATCCAATAAACAATAAAGCAATCAGAAAGATCTACCTGCTCAGGTACAGTCATATCTTTGTAGATAACAAAATCAAGATGATACCTTTCTAAATAATAACTGTGTATCACTATCATATTCCTAATAAAGACACATATAAAAGTATTTTCATTCTCAATACCTGATATTACTTAAGTACTAATACATGTATTACTATAATATCCTGTCCAATTAGATTTCCATGTATTTATATGGTTTCTAGCAACCTTAAAATCTTTAGCTCATTTGTATTCATGAATTACATTCCTATACCATTAATACCACCTAGTGATGATTGTATAAGTACTTTACAATCATAGTATTTAATTTGTATATTCAGTAGGCTCTCACTACCTGAAATATACCAACACTACTTATAAGTCTCATTCAAAGGATGTGTTATCAACCATGAAGTTCTATAATAATTCTTCAAATAATGTTCATGGTGTTAACAATACTTATTGTTCTAGAAATTCTTCACCCAGAAATCTTTCTATCATAGATTTGATTTTGTTTACATAATTATAATTTTCACTAAAATTCTACCTTGTAGTAACAAACTTTAAATTCAATAGAAACATAGTTTACTTTAAAAGAACTTGGAAAGAACAATTTAAATTCATTATCATCACTCTCTTCATTAGCATTGTGATGACTTATTAATGTAATACATTTTAAAAGCAGGATTGTCCTAATGTTCTGACCAATCCGTATTCCTTAGTACACTTCAAGTGACTAAATTAAAATAAAATAAAATAAAATAAACTTGGGGTCATACTGCCCAGAAACTCTTATTCCTAGTCTGTGTCTAACAAACTCAGGGAAATCATAAAACAACTTAACAACGTATTCATTGGATACCATCATATCCAGAAACCTATTCTCCCTAGCCCATACCTTTATAGACTTTGGTCAAATATAATTGTGTACTATACTCATTCAATTCAATTCAATTCCTCTTGGATCTCTGAACTCTTATATCCAAGGCATTCTTAATGTATATAATTACTTAATATAAATCAATATAAATTATCCTTCCCTAGTTTTCTTCCTTATGTTACCATTGTTTGTTTTACTTCACCTCGATATAAACAAATTAATTATTATAATTTATCTATGAAATCCTATTGAACTCAATCTTTGTAGAATTAAGTAATTTTATCAACTTCATATTTTATCTACGTCTGATACTTCTCATTCTATGTATAGGTAATAATGTAATAGTTATTTTCATAATACTATCCTATCATAATTGTACTCCATGTGTTATATTGTTATAAGTACTCTCTTTTGGTATTAATACTTATAACTGTTAAATAACTTTTCATTGTCTGTTTTCTTCGTTAATATTTAGAAATTAATATTTATGTTAGTGTCAATCTTTTATTTCTTTGTAAGTCTGTTAATCTTCTGTATCGAATGAACTCTGTAGAATCTTCCATCACAGTTTGCAGATCAGATGAAAAGTCTCTTTCCAACAGTCGATGTCCAGTTGTCTGAAGGAATGCTTTCCTGATTTATTGCCACAAGGATCTGTCACGCTTTACCTACATTAAAACAAATAACATGTTCAGCATCAATACAATGGCTTACAATGTTTATATCTCATTATTATTACACAGTTTAACATTGAATTATATTGACTAGACAAAACATACTAATTTCTTCTCATGAGATCTACCATCTAGTGGTCATTACATTTATGCCATGTGATGTATAATCTTTCTGAACATTTTAATTTTCCAAACTTTTTATTACTCATACCTTATTAATCATACCCCCCTTTTAAACTGTTTAATAATCTGGAGGTATAACCTAATCACATATCAGATGTTACAACAAAATATTGTTTTCCACTATACTTTAGCTATAGTAGCCATTTTGTCTTAACACTGGCACCATTTTGTCACATGAAACAAACTACAAAAACATATATTGTTTCCTTCATCAAATGTATTTGTAAATCTAGGTTTTATTCTATCAAAACTTGTGTCTTCTATGTAGTCAAAATATATGTATGTCCAGGCTTTGCAAAATATCAGTCATGACATTAAAATCTCATTCTCATGAATTAAATCAAAGATTTTAAATCAACCTCAGAAGTAACAACATTGTTTTTTCCTTCTGTAAAATGATTGGAGTTACTGTATAATCGCATACACCCAATATAACATTGCATGTTCCTAACTGCTACATTAGTGTATTTCATTCTGTCATATTTGCAAACTTGATGTAAATTTTTATTTCCATTAATTAACCTAATACTTTCTTATAACACACATAAAACAATGAAAAAACAGTTCAGACTAACAATTCATTAAAACAACAAACTAACATAGATCTCTATTCTTGTGCTGTTTTTAATTCTGGAATCAGCCTGTGCACATCTGTTGGCAGACATATCCATGCTCATTCCCTAAACTGATCATATCTCTTGAAGTTATCTGATTCTTATAACTTTCTGTGTTACACTGCATTGCTTGTCTGTCTCTTAATTTCGATTTAGCTAAAATTGCTTTTATTTGTCTGACTATCAGTTTGCAAGGAAAGGCCTTTATTGATTTATCTCCACATGTATTTTCTCTATCAAAATTTTCAATCAACATATTTAATTTTTCATTTGCTTTTGATTTGATATCTCGGATAAAATATCTGCAAGATCTTAAATAATGTTGTTTATTGCACCAAAAACAAATAACTTTAGGAGTTATATTCTGCCTTTGATTTGAACAAATTGGGAGGGGCTCAGCTGTCTGTATCACTCTACACTCTGTCCTAGAAGAAGAAGAAGGAGGAGGGCTGTAAAATCTGCACTTCTTCCTCTGCCTAAATCCACAAGTCATTTTAACCCCCTTCATTATTGGTTTCCCTCCTTAAGTTATCCAAGAACAAAGCTACTTCTGTCAAAGTGCTTTTTTCTCTAGCTAACACAATTGCAGTTGGATCTAGATCTTGAAATTTTTTCACAAATTCATTAATTAACTGATCTTCAGAAAAATCAGCAACAAGTCTATATGCACTTTCAAACTTTACAAGAAAACTAAATATATCCTACCCCTTGTGTGGTTTTAGTTTTTCCAACATTTCAGTGTCTGCAAAATCATTCCCTGTTGTTAATTTTATTAATTGTGTTAATCTGCCTTGCTTATTTCCATGGACTATTTCACCATCTTCGTCATTAGGGGTACTAATGGGTGGAGTCAGTCTACGTGCAATGTATGTTGGCAGCCATATTTTAAATAGTCTATTCCTTTGTTCGTCATTTAGGCTGTATTTGTCTAAATTTGACTCAAACATTTCAGCATTAGTAAATGCATCCACTGACGTGTCATAAACTGGAATACATTTCACAATTTTCATTAATTGTTCGTGTATATTCAAATTAAGTTTTGCAGTTCTGTCTTGAAATTTACATTTCTGCAAATCACTCTGTGAGGATACATTTTCAGTATCTATTGGTTCTGGGATTAGATTCTGTGCCTGTATTTTTCTTGTATTAACACACACTTGCTTAACTTCATTTGTAAACTGGCAACTAAAATCATTTGTTAGTTCAACTCTATCCTCTAATTCACAGACTTTTTCTGACAATGTTCTCTCTGTTACATTGTTACACTGTTCATTTAAATCTGATTTGTCTTCTGTTAACCCATACAAATCTACTTCTTTTTCTGCTGATTCTAAATTGTCTTGATCTGCATTTCGTTTACAAATCAATGCATTGTAAGTACAGACTAATTTCATAACATTTCTGATCTTTTGTTTTTTCTTATTAACAAACAATTTCTTGTCAATTTCACTATTGGCAATTTCACATTGTGTGTATAAAGATTGCCACAATACAGCATCTGAATAGCTGCTATTAAATGCAAACTGCAATTTACTTTTCTCTGCAATATCATTTATGAATTCCATGTTACTCACCAGATCAGTTATCTCTGTCTATTTCGTTGCTTCATCCACACAGCTGCGCAGTTCTGGACGCTTGATTCTGGACGCGTGCCAATCTCTGCCACGTGCTTGCTTCTAGAATTCACGTTGTATCTTGTGCTTTTTGTCTCAGTTGTAGAAAATAGTCTTGTACAGTCTTTGTGATTTGAAAACTTTCTTTTTCTTACAAACACAGTTCTTCTATGGCAGTCAGTCTAGATTCTTTTTTTTCTCTTCAAGTTTGTTTTCCCAGTTCCAAAATAGCTTTGTAACTCGATTCTTCTCTCTCCCCCCTTGAAGTGGGAACAAAACTTGAATAGAAGACTGGCTGGCTAGCCAATGTAAAAAATGTAGATGAATGGATGTTCATGTAGAATCTTCTTAATTTATTCTTATCTTCAGTTGATTGATATATATACGTCTTTTGTATATATATTCTTGGGCCAAATGCTCGCCACAATAATATATGTCTATATTATTGAAAAGTAGTAATACGCAATCTGACTTACGGTTTCTTCAGGTTTATTCTTTGTTACTGATACATAATAAAACATAATAAATGTTACAGGATAGTGTACATTCAACAGCAGATGGTAATTGCTGGACTTCTTTTGGGAGAGTTACATCGTTGTACAGAGCCAAGCCAAGA